TTTCTGTTTCAAGTTTCTATTTATTGGTTTATGAATGAACACTGCCGAGGTGTGAAGTTTTGGGGTTTTTCTTTGTCTTTCGTTTACCACAGACCCAATTTCCACATGCATGGTGTTTCGTGGTCTACGTGTGGGTGCTTATACTGATATTATGATCATTCGAGTTCTTAATGTATGGATTGAGCATGGTGATGACTCTCAGGGGCATAAAAGAACAATGCATGTGCTGTGTCTTGACAAAGAGGTCTGTCATTCGTCTCTGTAATGTAATATTTATTGTTTATGTTTGATTTTATTGTAGTAATGCACTAAATCACATTTAACAGGAACATATGCTAGAGGCCTGTATTGAGGAAAATGACATTCAGGAAATGCAACATAAGTTGAAAGTAGGAAATTTACATGTCCTGGATGGCTTTCATGTTATTCCTGCGAGGAAAAACAGGCGTGTTGTTCCAGCTGAAGTTCGCTTTGGCTTAAGGCGTGAACATATCATATTTTGTGTGCCTGACAATCCGGGTTATCCCAAGTTTCCTGTCAATGCTTTTCTGAAAACTTCGTTCTCTGCTATTCCAATAGAGACAGAGGCAGTTGTGAATTATGGAGGTATCTTCCTCGAAAGTTGTTTGCACAAAAAGTATTCATGATTATTTGCTTACTATGAATTGAATTGCAGATGTTACAGGTTGCGTTGTTCATCTGATGATTCCAGGATTTCCAATTAATGGTGTTCTTAGTTTTGAGCTCATCATAGAAGACATCAGGTTTCTTGCATATTCTTGTGCTGATTTTTGTTTGTTAGACTTCATGTGGGATTAACTGATCTTTTGCTATTTTGTATAGAGGGGACAGGGCGACAGTGTACTACTCTGGAACTGAAGTTACAAAGTATTTGGAGTTGGCAGGGGAATCTGAAGCTCGACTTCCTCTCATTACCACAGTTACTGCTGTTACAAGGCTGCCAATCACAGATGCCACTGGAGATGCATATGTATTTCAATCTTCACCTGGAAGTCGTCTGATCATTGGTTCTTATAATCACCATTATGAGAAGATCATAAATAGGTATTATTATATTCGAATTCGATGTTTATATATTGACAGACCTGCTCTGTTGGATGCTAGAAAAACAATACGTACATTCTTTTTGTTGTTTAGGTTCATAGGTGATCGAATGCCAGTGACTTATATCAATAGTACTTCTCGCTGCTCTATTGGTTATCTTCGTGGTCTTCTTCCTCCCAAAAGAACCCTAAAGCAGCTAAAGGATGATATAATGTTCCATGCACAGACCTATCAGGTATATGTATGCTTTTTGTTGTTTTGATTGTATTGGATAACACATATCCCAAATATATAGTCATATCTTTTACCTATTATAACATAAATTCCTTCCTTCAGGCTCTCTTTCGTTGTATGCTGGAAATGACAAGATTTACATACGGTCCAGAAGTCTTTAAATCATGTTCAGGTTTTCCAAGGTATGATTCAATTTTATGTTTTACTAATAATCTGTTGTCCATTGCATTTCAGGAAGATCAAAACGTTCCTTTTATTGTTTAATTCAGGGTACGATATGAATTACAAGCAACATGTGAGTGTGAGGGAGAATATGTTGATGTTGTGTTTGATCATGAAGCTGTGTTGGGCTTGGTTTGGGTGTCACCCGAGGAACTTTTCAATCTAACCTATGAAGAAGGATATCAGTACATTCAAGACAGATGTTATGTGCCTTTTATGGCTGAATCTTATGTTGCTCCTGGGACTTCAGAAAATCCTCCTGCAATCCGAATTGCTTCAATCTGGAACCCTAATGCTTTTGTGTGATTAGAAACTGTTCTACTTGGAACTTAGTTTGTCGGGACGGCTTATTTATAATTATGTATGTTATCTATTCAGGACATGTTGCTCTGTTTTCTGTAAAAATAACTTAATGTTTTCCCCTAACTACTCTGGTATTTTGGAAATTCACCAATGTACCCGCTTCGACAATTTGCTAGCCGCTGGTTATTCTGTTTAGTACATATGGAAATCCCTGATGTTTGTATCTCAATAATTTAGAGAGGTTAATCTTTTGATTTGATCATGAAAAACTAGCAGGAGACATTGTTTGCGTTTTGAATTCTGGGCATGTTCTTCATGTTCTTCCTGTTCTTGCAGAATGACACAATAGAATATTTGATCATGATCCTTTGATCGAAATTAGCAGGAGACATTGTTTGCGTTTTGAATTCTTCGGCCTGAAACGCTTACTAAAACCGAGCCCACGTTTTCTTACGTTTTGATAGTAATGGAATGGTATTGAGCCCAGCCCGAACATTCTTTAGGATTGCAGACAGAAGCCCATGGGAAACTGGCCCAAAATCACCGCTTCCTTTATAATCCCTAATAACTGTCTTCATCAACCAGATCCGCCGTCCACATTTCCATACACTTTGCTCCGCCGCGAAAGCCCCACCACCGAACTACACGACAGCCTTTAAAACAAAGGTAACTCCACGTCCTCCTCTTCCTCACCATTTTCACACTTGGGAATTAACTTCTGATCATCATCCACATTGTTTGCGTAAAGACCCCAAAAGACATGGAGGGTTTGGCTAAAAACCAGCAGTCAACAGAGGACGCTCACATGGTCCCCACCGACAACAAAGGTGAATGCTTTCCATTTTTGTTAAAGAATACTACCAGGTATCTCGAATCCTCTGCTCCAAAGATAAAATATGTGTTTCATTTCCCTATACTGTCTTATTATAGATCCGATCGAAACTTGCATGCCATTTCGAGGGCTGCGTCTGGGCACCAACGTCCGCATAGTAATTGCTAGGCCTGTGATGGCATGGCTCGAGTATCGAGAGGCGCCTAAGCTTAATAATCTTAGCATGCACATGATCTGGATAGATAAAAAGGTTTTTTTCCATTTCAGTTACAGAATTAGATAATCTCTTCATCAACAATTTTAAACTACTATAATACATAATTTGGAACCGTTTAACTGCTTATCTTATAGGCACGACTAATCGAGTCAATGGTTGATGAAAAAGACATCGCCGAGATTTCTCGCAAGATAAAAGTCGGGAACCTTTATCAGTTTGATTCGGTTGAAGCAATACCAGCAAGAGAGAATCCAAGGATCGTTGCAGGAGAGTTAAGAGTGCACATAACCGCTGATCAAAAAATTACCAGGATTGAGGAGGACCCAGATGAGCCACGCTTGCCCGCTGGCTGGGACATTGGGATTGCTTTTTCGATGGTACCACTTCAGACAAACACCATCGACTATCATACAGATACATTAACCATATCTATTTGATATAATAAAATGAACTTAAGCTTTTAAGTGACAAACTCTTATGTTGCTTATAGACATCACCGTATGCATTAGGCGTCTCAGTGTTCCCACAACAATTCGCAGTAGACTCAAAGAATTTCACATGGTCGTTCAGGATGTGAGGTACATTTTGTAGAATAGAATCTCGATCTGCGAATTGTATGAATAAACAACCTCACATATTATTGTCATTGACAGTGGCGCTAAGGCAACTGTTTGGTATCGTGGATATGATATACCGAACTTCTTAGAGAACGCCCTGACAGCTGAGGCTCATCTGCCTCTGATTGTTACAATCAAGTCTGTCATTCGGGTGGCACCTCTAGCCGACCAGAAATACAAGTATCGGTTCGAATCCACTCCTGCCAGTGCACTCAAGATCAGATCTTATACAGTCCCATACCAGGAGATAATGCACATGTACATTTAGTTTGACAGAATCCTTTCCATTTTTTGAATCATATTTGTTGCCAGTAGGCCAAAACCAATTACATTGACACTTTTGTCTCTTTTATGCTACAACCAGTTTCCTTTACAGCCGCAGGCAAGTTTATTTCATGGATGCCAATACCAGCAAGAAGACAGGCTGCCTTTGATCAGGAATCGAAAAGAAGACACTCTCTGACATGGAAACAATGCTTGCATCTGATCAGACTTTCCACAAGGTTAGTGAGGGACAGAACATAAACCAAACTCCTATATTGTGTACCTACATTTTTCGTAGACCTATATCTTATGAATATCTGATGTTCATGCTAGGTACTCTATCGTGTTAAGTTCTTCATCTCCCAAATGAAATTTCGAAAAGCCATATGTCAAGCGACTGAGGACTGGCCAGAGTAAGTTTTCTATTTCAAAACGACAATTACTTCTCATGTGAATGAATCTATCTACGAATAAGCCAACAAGTTTCAGAACTTATACTTATGACTAGGCTGCACTATGAGTTGGAAGTCAAATGCAAGCAAGGAGATGATAGTGTTGATGCCATACTGGACCACGAGGCTACACTATCAATAATAGGAATGTCACCCAGCAAATACAAAAAACTCGATGCAGAATCGGCCAAGGCGTTGCTGGTCAAAAGATGTAGCAGAATGTTTGCAGGAGAGCTCTACATCGGTTCCTCAGATCTGAAGAACAGAACCAGAACAGCCGTATCCCAAATAAGAGTAGCGACACTTTGGCACACCTCAAGGATAGATAAGTGACCATCAGCACTACTGACAGAAAGGCCAACCGAAGTATCCCATCCACCCCTAGAATTCTCCATTTTAAACTGACGTTTCTATTCCCTATTTTCAGTGAAGACAAAACTATGGCAAATGTGTTTGTGTTTTTTAATTTCGTCAAGGGCATCAGATACTAAAGTTTTTATTCCCTATTTTCAATGAAGACAAAACTATGGCAGATGTATCTGTGTGGTGTGCACAAAGATTAATAATATGTTTGTTAATTTCTGCGCTCTCTCGCGCAATGAATCTAAACTATTTGCGAATGGTATAGCAGAAAGAACATAACAAAATCCACAAAACAACTGGAGTCACACTTACCCCGCCGCGGAGCGCGGGCCAAGTACTAGTTAAGTATTAACTGCTTAGTGCTTCCGTTGATAAAGTTTTGCCAATGTTCCACTAGTACCCATATTTATTTGAACAACCATCTTTTTTATAATCCAATTCAAAATTTATGTCGGTCCATATCTTCTTCTGATCGGAATGTAAAACCAGTATATCAATTCACACACACAAACTGAAACTAGTAGAAGAAGAAAAGGGCAATGAATAAAACATTCAATCAAGTGCGTTGTCCTTCTATACAACCAACCAAATCACTGAAAAGCACTTTCTGTTTCAAGTGTTTATTACTAGCATAACTAACAAGCCCTGGCAATGGCGTTTCCAATCAACAATCTCTACCAAATATGAAAGAATCCATCCCACCCCCGCAGTTTTATTATTTCCTATGAAACAAAATGGACACAAAATGAAACAGCGCACGTATTGTAGACATCAGCCATGTCCAAAACCTCTCCGTAACAGAAAACTCAGGTCTCTGTCTTCCTAATCGTCGCAACCAAAACCAACTCTCTTGCTTTTCTATCTCCACTGAACCACAACAGCTACCGACGCCATCAACACCACAGCCCAATTTAACATCATCCCTCTTCCAATTCTACTCCCTGTTACCAAACAAATAGACAGGAGAGAAAGTGTTCAAAATCAAACCTTGTTGCCACAGTTGGAATGATTTGAGAGGGTTGATCTTACCTTGATTCTTAGTACCATCGTTTTGGGACAATGCAGGCGTTGGAGCAGGTGGGCTTTGCATCGTAATCCCCAGGTCCTTGCAATCCGTCCCAACCGCACCTGCAAAAAAAAGAAAATGATCCCAAAATCGCTATCAACAACCCGTCGCCGTGTTTCTAACTGAAGTTTGTCGATTAGAAAAGAAATCTTACATTCTTTGTAGCAAGGGAAGAGGGATGTGTTGAGAAGGTTATTGTATCCCTCGGAACATAGGCAGGTATAGGTGAACAAGGATGTCTTGTTGCAGGATCCGCCTCCACAATCTGCCCAATTACATGCTGCCATAAACCAAAAAAAAAAGTCCTTGAAGTAAGTTTGCGAGTACGCTTTATGTGAAAAAAAAGCTTTGTAGTTCTGCAGAAATAGGTTTGTAGCAAGTTCTTACGGTCGAAAAGAGTGGTATTGGACTTGCCAATCTTGTCTTGAGCCGGCGCCTCTGCTGGCTTGTTGCAGGACAGATCCATGGAGCCTGCAGTTTTTGAAGTAATCAACCAAATCTCATTATAATTTTCCTAATTAAGTTGGGTTATAACATTGATTGAGAAAGGAGAGGGATTTTTCAGAGAGCTGACAGTTGGGGACAATGCAGGGGAGGAAATTGAGGAAAGTGACGCCGTCCATGGGATCGGGTCGGGTCTGCTTCCACCCGTCGTCGCACTCGCATTCGTAGGGAGGGACGGTGGCGTTAGTCAACGGCTTGCACTTGCCTTTCCCGCATTCCACGTTCTCACATACGTTGCCTAAACACAGACAGAAACCCCAAATAAGAAAACAACAAAGAAAGAAAGAAAAAACTATAAATCTCGAATCTTTTAGTCAGATAGACGAAAACCCAGTAGAGTAATAAGAGGAAAGTTTCGGAATTTGCGGGAATTGATGGAGAAGAAGGTGGGAGAGGGGACGAACCCACGATCGGAGGGAAAATCGGCGACAGCAGGTCGCCGGCGATCAGCTGCGTTTGCAGAAGAACAAGAAGGAGAGTTGCGAGACAAGGGAAAGCACCGGAACCAGCCATAGCTGGAACGAATCGCAGAGATGGACTGGGAAAACAGAGAGAGGGAGAAGGGTTAGGTTGGAGAAAACAGGGGATTTAATTTAAAGGGCGGGGGTTCTTATTTGTACTGTTGGGGAGATGGAAGATTGGGGACGACGCTGACACTGGGAACGGGCGGGACTAATTAAACATGGACACGCTCTTTCCATAACATGATTTGGGATTTGATTTCTCTCTCTCTGTCTCTTGGGTCTTGATAATTATGAATCTGAGTTTATGGGGCGACATGGTCGTGTGTTGGACTTTGTTAGGGGACTTCCGTTTCTCTGTGTCTATTTGAGACTAATTAATTTGACACGGGGGATTCTAGATGGATTGTGCTTCAATAGTTATTTCTTTCTTGCTTTCTCATTGACGGTATGAATCAGCTCTTTAAGAGATCACAACAATCCATAATTACTATCATCGTGTTCCATGGCGGGAACAATTTTTTTTTTTGGGAAGATATGTGATTAGGGGTGGATATACGGTACGATCCGGTTAAATTGGCCCGAATTGATCCGGTCTCGGTCTGGTCTTTTCGAGAATATAAGGATCAAAGATCGGATTGAATACAATACGGTTTTGATTTGGTCCGGTCTCAATTCGGTCTTGATTTTAGATTGAGCTTGTGAGGATTTGAGTGACCCGAGGGGGAATTTGAGTGGCCTAAGGCCTGAAAGGGTGAGGAGGTTAAATTTTGGGTGTTGGGCTCTCTTCTCCGATCTCTATCCGGTTTTCGGTCCGGTCCCAAGCGGTTTTTTACCTCAAATCTAGGGCCAAAAATTGGATTGGATTGTTTGCTACCTGGTCCCGGTCCGGGTTATACGGTCCGATTTCGGGTAAATTCAAAAAATCCGGACCAAATAGCCAGCCTTATCTATGATGTGTGATTATGGTCTCTTTAAAGGAAAGTTTAGGAAAAGCATTTATTGGTAGGAATGACAATGGAGCAGGTTTGGGTCGGGTATCTTGATATTTATACTCGTCCTTGGCAGGTTGGGTTCGAGTCGGGAAATTTATCATGGGGCACGAATTGTGACAAATTGATCCAATGGATAAGTTATTTAAATGGAAAACTTCAGTATTATTTATTATTTCATTGGTCTAGAAGACCAAGAAACAAACAACAAAATTGCCATACATCCATGTAATATAAAGCTATATTGTGTTACCCTTTCCCACCGTCGCATACGGTATACATTGTCTATGCTTGACTAAATTTTATTCTCTAAGGAAATGGGGATGAGATTAGGTGCTAACCCTTATAGGAGTTAGCACCGTGATAACTAGCAAAAAACGCTATTAAAAATAACGAAATCACTACGGATTATTATAAAATCAATACAACATCTAAGTTAAATCACTCCTAATTCAAATTAGTAGTAGTTTTTTCCTTGGTTAGGACGGTGCTAACTATTGTACAATTAGCACCGTAGCCGTTCCCAAGGAAATGTGTTTTTACTGTCTTTGAATTGAATTTAGAATATTATTGTGACGAGAAGACCGGCTGAATCCCATTTTCTTGTTCCCGGTCATTGTCGGAACCAAAGAACAGGAATTAAGAACAGGAATGCAACTATGCAAAGTGTCATAAGTCGCACCGAAGGAATTAGTTATAATTTTGTTTTTCAATTATTTGGACTAATCTACATGCCCATGTAGTTGTAATTTCCCCACGGAGAGTGGAAATATAAGAGTAGAATCTACGCAATAAATAAAAGCCAAATGAGAAAATTTGAAGCCCCATTTCAAATTTTCTGCATTCAGAGTGAAAGTAGGAAGGACATTTTGGTCTTCACAATTACTTTTTTTATTCATTAAAAAACACTTACTATGATTCAAACCATGACCACTTTGAATAGTTGTAATTTCCCCCACGGATAGAGACCTTCCGTGGAAATATAAGAGTCGAATCTACACAATAAATAAAAGCCAAATGAGAAAATTTGAAGCCCCATTTCAAATTTCCTGCATTCAGAGTGAAAGTAGGAATGACATTTTTGTCTTCACAATTACTTTTTTATTCATTAAAAAAACACTTACTAGGATTCGAACCATGACCACTTTAAAGAAAAGCAAAGATCATAACCAATCACACTAAGTACATTTGTTGTATATTCTTAAATTAAAAACATATAATCGCAGAGAGGAAAAAACTCTTCTCCCATTTCAAATTCCCTGCTCTATGAGCGTTTGTAGGAAAGGTAGAATAGAGAGTGTTAATTTTTTTCTTTTTCCTCTGTGGAACGGGCCAACTTACAGTACACATGCAGATTTAAACGGGTCCAGGAGCGTTAATTTTTTTCTTTAAGTCCTTTTATTTCTCCGTGGTGGTAAAATATATATGAAAAGGCAAAAACAATACTCATTTTTATTGCTAAAAAGAAAAAATTTAACAATAAACTAATGCATGGATTCTAATGGGCTAACCGCTAATCATAAAATAAAAGAGTTGAATGAGTCTGACCTACACGGGATTTGCCCATCAAGTAAAACAAATGAACATCATGGGTTTGTCATTCTAAAACAAGCTATTTTCTCTAGCATAATGTATATTATGCTATTATTTTATATCTTAGTGGCTAAAATATAATGTATTTTAAAGTTATTCAATGATTCAACCTCGACCAACCCAATTAGTCCAATTTTTATCATTTCAAATATATTATGTAATTATTTGATATCATAATGATTAAATTATAGTGTATATTATAGAGAATCATTTGGTATTTGTTAGTAAAAAACTAAACAAAAGATCTATTTGGTTATTTTTAACATTAAAATGATCCTAAACATTTTCAGTTTCCTTTCGAAATTCTATAATTTTATTCCCGAATCAGTGATGTGCAAATGGCGAATTGCAGTCATCTCTTTTCTTTCATTAGTTTTTATTTTCAAATAGAAAGTTTACAAGTAAAGAATAATTAGAGTTTGACATAGGTCGGTCAAACAGACTGAATTTCAAGTTTTGGCCTGTTTTGATCAAGTCTAATTTATAATCACATGGTTCCCTGATACCCGATAAAAATCTCAATCCAAACCAGTTTGGCAGGTGAGTCCGTGTTTACCACCATTTTCTAGGGATACAGGAACGGTGGTTCCTATCCCAAATCGTATTGTTCATTCTTGATTTCTTTAGATTTTATCATGGCTTGGCAAAAAATCAGAAAGCACAATGATGACAAGATGAAAGTTTTATAAAGCAAATTAATCGGCCAACGGGCCGAGTAAAAGCTAGCAACGATTGTGAGATGCTCATTTCCCGAAAACCGGCGGGATAGGCGATTTTTTATTCGATTTTCTGGAATTCGGTTTCTATAAAACTTACTCCACCTCATCATATTACCAAAAACAATATTATTTCACAAGGTAACCGATACTTTATTTTGGTTCATAAGGCTGATTTTTGATTCGTTGCATCATTAATGTCTCTTTCCTACTAAAATTCACTATTTTTATCACGTGTTTCCGAAGAAAAAAAACTATACAACAATAAGCTATACACCCCATTACATTATCAAATTTCATACCTCACATTCTCCGGCCAAATGGCTGGGGCACACGCTAGTTAAGTAAAGAGATAAAGATCAGTTTGCTGCTTCATTCCAACTCTCCTTTATCACTTGTTTGCACTGCTCATGACGTTGCCATAAAGGTTCAAATCCAAAACTCCATGCCCACCGAACTTCATCATCTACCATTTTAGTCTTGAGTAGAATAGGATAATGGTCCGATCCACATCTCTTTAGATTATGGAGCCTAGCATGGGGAAACAGTTCCCTCCGGTCAGCATTTGCTACCATCCGGTCTAGTCTTTCTTCAAGATAAGTATCATCCGAGTGGTTGTTGTCCCAAGTGAATGGTTTTCCATAATAACCTAGATCCTCCAGATTGCAATAGTCGAGGACTTCGTTGAACATTTCCATGTCATTCACATCTGGTAAATTCAGACCACAACATCCAACTCCTGCCTCCACATCATCAATAATCCTCCAGCTCGTCCTGTAGAACCAACACCACGTCCCTTCTCTCAACCTAACTCTTTCATAGTTTCTTCCCATTCATAACTTCGTTTTTTTCTCCATTAAGAAGAAAATATCGTGGTTTTGACGTCAGAGCATCTACCCCACCTTTCTAATTTCCAGGGGATTCCCCAACCCCTGACAATTATAACACAAAATGTTCATTGGGCTGGGCGGCTCTGGTCCTCGCTAGAGTCCGCCATAGCGCCAACCTTTGTAGTTTGTTGCTCTCACTGCTTATCCACTTCTTGTCCCTTCAGGTCCTTCTTCACTAGACTAAATCCACCTTTCTCTACTACTAGTGCTCCCTTAACTCCCTCATGCTCCTTAACATCCATTTTCATCTCCTCTGCCTGCCGCTTTTGGGGGTTCACTTGTGCCAGATTTCCTTTGGTGGTACTGCGTCTTGCCTATGAGAGCCTGGTCCATCTCCTTTTTCTCTCAGTGGAGACCTTATCCACATCCCCATACCCGATATTAAAGGTTAAATTCTTCTCCAGTATAGCTACCAAGGCCTTTTCTCGGGCTAGCTCCTCCAATTCTTCCTCGTGAGCTTTCTTCTCAAACATTCTCATATCCGCTTCACCTCCAGGTTCTCGTGATTCTGTTAAAACTTCCATGCCATCTCGTATTTCATCCAGTCCCCCGTTATGTTCTTTCTGAGTTGTTTCATTCTTATTCCCACCATCAATCACTAGGTGTTTGAACTCACCCCTGTAAAACTGCTCCTTGATAGACTTCCATATTATCTCACTTTTCTCTTGTTCCAACTTATTAGTCCTTGGCTTTGTTGGAGGAGGACTCGCCCTCAGCCAAGGGCCGTAATGATCCCTGAAATCCTCAAATTTTCTGTACAGTATAGCTTAGGATGCCAAATCCTACCATATTTAAAACAGAATACGGGAAGTCGTTCGTACTTTACTTCAAAGCTCCTTATTTCTCCTCTTATTGACAGGTTAAGATCATCCCTAAAAGGAGTCATGATGTCCTTTGCCACCCTGATCCGCATTATGTCACTCCAAGGATCAGAGTGCTTCTCATCAAACAGCAAAAAGTGACCAAAGTGTGGTGCCACCTTCTCAGCCATTTTCCTGGACTTCATCTCAGTAGGTATATATGAAATTTGGATCTCTTTCATCTCTTCTGCCACTGGCTTTTTGTTTAGATCCGCTTGCTCAAACCAGGTTGTTATCATAATGCCACTGGCATGCCACGGGCCACCGTGCAAAGCTTTGTTCCTGTCATCACTATGGGCGATTGGAAATTAAAGAGTTGGCCTCCGATATCCCTTATCTCGAAAGGTTTGATAGTAGGCCAGACTTTCTCCAGCACACCTTGAAGAGCCCTAAGAGCCCTGACGCTAGGTTTTTTATTTGCCACCAGACGTGCCACAAGCCCCAGCTTCAACACAGCTTCAGAGATCCCTTCCAGCATTTCTTCCGTATCCACTACCAACACCGCATCTTCATCATCTGTCAGGATAAATCGCTTGAGTTCGCCAGCAAGCTCATCAGACTCCCCCTTACCCGATTCTGTGGGTTTCACGTTAGGGTTTGGGTATTCTTTTTCCTCTGTCTGTCGTAGATCCGTCTTTGTTGATTCCTGTTCCTTTGCTTTTGTTCCGTCGTATCGAAACTTGTAATCACTCTCTCTATTCTGTGAAAACAACTAGCCCAAAACTCACCAAAGCAATATAGTAACTCGCACCCAACGACCCTTTTATAGGCACACATAGATGACCTCGAAAGGGATATCGCATAGGACTCCGTTTCCAAGTGTAACAGGGATAGAGCCTGAAAGAATCACAGTGATTAGACGTAGAAAAGTTTTGCCGATTGACAAAAAACCCTATACGAAACAGCGCCGCCGAAAAAAAATCCTATTTGAAACTCTCGCAGCTCGAGAGACTCACATCGTTTCACTTGCATTTGTTATCTCCTTATTAGACCAAATAATAAGTATGTAGTTTCCATGGAGTAATTAATAATATATAGATGATTATATCATCACACAAAGTGCTCAAATCTCGAAGCCAACACCAACATAATAATCTAAAATCATAATGTCCCATAAGTGAGTGACAAAACAAGTTAAAGGAATGCGGCCGCTGCAATCGCAGCGCCAACCATCCACCACCTCCCACGCGCCATCATCGTCGGAGAAGAAGAAGAAGAACTCAACGCGTTAGTCGTCACCGGCGAGTCTTGCCCATTGGCACTAGAAGCCGGAGTATACACCGTAACGTTATAACTCACAACAGCATCTCCATTCGTGGTGTTCAACGTGACCGTCTTCAACACCGCATACCCACGCGCCATCCTGAACAGCCCCGTGCCACCCACAACGGGAAGCTCCCGGGTCGGGTTCATGAACATGTTCTTACCCATGACGCTCAGCGTGCTGCCCGCGTAGGGCCCGTCGGTGAAGCCCAAGCCCATGGACATGACGATCGCGGACTCGTTTTGGGCCGAGAAGGTGTACATTCCTTGGGCCCGGCCCACGAGCTTCGAGCCCGCGTCCGCCGTCTCCGTCAGCGCGTCGTCGACCATCGTGACGGAGCCGAAGAAGGAGTTGGGGCTGGACGCGGTACTGGCCACGGGGTTGATGATCTGGACGGCGGTCGGGTTGCGGCCGCTCCGGATGTCGTGGAAGTAGAACTGGAGGTTGGTGATGGTGTCCGGGCCGGTTCCCGAGTCGAGCCTTCTGGCCCAGCTGGCCGATGGTTTTTGGGCTTGGGCGGATGGGGTTGAGACCGCCATGGAAATTGTGACCAGGAGGAGGGTCAAACCTAGTCTTGACATTTTGGGAAAATGGAGGGTAGCGGAGAGAGGAATGGAGCTTTTAGGCTAATAATGATGATTAAGGCAGTGGAGGAAGGAGGCAGGCATGGATGAGTTAAATTGAGTTTTAATTAGGAGGTTTATAGGGAGGATTAGTGGGTAGTTAGTGGTTATCTAAAGTAGTATTTATTTTGGGGCCTGGGCCCTTCTGGACGGCCCATTATTGTATTCTAATACCCGGGTTAGTTGGGCTTTTTCTTTAATGCCACGTTTGGCCAACTCAATCTGGCAATGCTTCCTCATTTGGAGATTCCCAGACCATTATAATTATAAAAGAAAAAAAGAAAAATTAAGAAAACTAGAAAGGTCAATGGAGCCAGCCTGGAATATGATTGGGGTTGTGGCGACACTGCGACAACAAATTTAGGGACTAATTGACAAAAATAATCACCTAAAATAATCAAATTCCTTTTCTAACCTGCCAACCAAACCATTCATTTTTACTAGTTTGTTGTCCGATCCTTTAGTCGGAATGTCATTTGATGGGTCAGATTCGGTCCTTAAACCCTATTTTTTAAGGAAGATCTTAAACCCTTTCCAGCCAATAGGAGAAGGAGAGAGAAAATGATTAGTAATCATTGGTAACTATAAACCTAATACGTTCAAGGGTAAGACTGGTATATACAAAATAGTTAATGATATAATTAATTAAAAGGAAAATTGCGAAAACTCACACTGACGTGGATTTTTTTTCCCGAGAATCATTCTCGTCCCAGCCCTAAAATCGCTTCTTTTGCAAAACCTGCCGTTGTGTTTTCGTCTGAGAGCCGCGTAGCCGACGTGTCGTCGCCATCCGTCGTCTTGCCTTCTTTGCGCCGTCTCGTCTCGCCTCCTTTCTGCGTAGCCACTGTCCATATGGGCACTTCCTTTCATTAGCGTCGCCAGTTGTTACCATTGCTCTACTTCGCCGGCGTCGCGACGATAAAGCGATCCTCATGGCCGGCCGACCGACTCCATGAAATTGACAACGACCACATATTGATTACTAATGGACACAAAAACGTTGAGAATGTCCAAAGATTGATTAATAATATGTTAATAATACTATAACGAAACAGTGTAAAAAGATTGACAATGGTGACAAAAATTATTAATAATGGAGCACTCTTGATTACTAATGGCGGCGGCGACGAAAATTATTAATTATTATTATACCAAAATGAAACAGTGTAGAGTAATTGAAACGTTGAAAATGACCACAAATTGCTTAATAATGGGAAACGGGGATAAAAAATGTTGAGAATGACGATGAAAATTCTTACTAATAGAGATAGAAACATTGATAACTAGTTTTTCCTTACGACCAAAGATTGATTAATAATGGATACGAAAACATTGACAATGGCGACGAAAATTATTAATAATGAAAAAAATCGACACTTTGCAAAAACGTTGATGACATTTGTCACGTTACATTAATGTTGATGACAATAAGTTAAACCAATAACAATTGGTCCAAAACCATTGATAGTTCAATGTATCAGTCTTGTGCCTCCTAAACCAGATCCACTAGCAACCCATTAACTATTGAAAGTTACGAATTGGCAAGTGGCAACTAAAATGTTAATAATAATAATGGTTTAATATTCATACAAATTTAGCCACATATCCATAAATACGTACCTGCTAGTTCAATAACCAAGTTGTGAGCTCAATCGATTCCCATATACGGTATTTTTAACTTTATTCACTATTTTCAAGTTTACTTTGGTTAAAAAGTCTACCTAGGTAGTGTCTAATAGTGCTGAAAAGTTATTAAAAATTGGTTTGTGATTATTAATAAAGTAATGATATTTATTAATAAAGGTGTCATATTTATTGTTAATAATAGTGACAAAGGTGTTCGTAAGGAATAATGTCGAGGGACGATATGTGGACATTATTTATTGATAATGACTTGTTAGTTATTGATATTGTAGAGGCAACGCCGGACGGGAACGATGGGAGCGACTGCGGAGGGGGCAACGCCGGGGGTAAGCTACGCTCGGTAGGAAGACGACGACAACCATTAAGGAGTAGGACGACGTCGAAAGCTGGGGGAGCACTGCCAGAGACGGAAGCGATGTCGATGCTAACGAGAGAAGTAGGTCGTTGGTGGACTAGGCCGACGATGGCAACGGGAGCTGGCAGCCGATGGCGGAGAACGCTTGCGGGAGCAGAATCGCTGGCTGGAGAGCTCAGCGGGAGGGAAGCTGGACCGGCGGCAACAACAGAAGTTAGGGTTCGGCGTTGGTGGACTAGACGACGATAACAGGAGCTAGCTAACGTCGACGGAGAACGCTTGCGGGACTAGAAGTGCCGACCAGAGAACTCAGCGGGAGGGATGGCCAAAGAAGGTGTTTTGATTTGATAGAGAAACGGTTCAGATGCTTGCGGGAGGAAAAAGAAAAAAACGATACGTGGGTATATACATCAGTAGGGTTACGTTTTTCAATTTAATTGCCATTCCCTTAATAACCCTAACAACTATTTAACTAATAACTACTCACTAACTACCTAAAATTGAATCAGCCAATCACAACGCTTTACGATCTTCCTTACAAAAAAGGGATTACGGACCTGAACTTAGGCCGTCATTTGAATACAATGTATTTATGAATTATGATGTGTTTAAAATTTTAAATTATTTGAAATGCTAAATTTCGTATGACATTAAGGTGACATCGAAATTATTTTTTCATTTTCGAAATTCTTATAACTTTTCATCAATGATGAACATTGTAATCTTAATGGTTATAACGTAAGTTGTCAAACCGGTTTAAGTCATTGAGTTGGTCAAGCAAGGCTTTAAAGTTTAATGATTTGATCGAATCCAACCTGTTTGAGCCATTTTATACATTTTCTAAATATATATACATATAAGATGAAAATTTAGTGACTTAAATTAAATGTACTGACTTGTATCTATTAAAAACTTAAATTACATTAAAAAAACCATATAGATCTCAAGATCCACCCACCATCCACTTGTCTCTCCCCCCTCCCCCTTCCCTCTCTCTTCTTCTCCCTCTCTAACGATCAGAACCTTGATTTTGCAGAGCCCGTTTTTCAGCTTGACTTTCGCCGGACCTTGTCCAACCAGCCGCTCCTGCTCGTTATTGGTGCAACAATCTTGGTTATAAGACTCGTGAATAATCATTCATAACTTGTCTATTTAATGATAAATTCACTTAGTTGCCTATGGTTAAAAAGAAAATTGACATAACAAAAAGAGAGTTTGTCTGAAAAAGCGTAGCATAACTAGGAAACTCGTGAACATAACATTTAGTCAATATTTATTTCTTTTGCTTGACAAACAATACATATATAGCAATACTGCAATACCTAAACCTTAAAGTATTATGCACATTACAATAACAGAATTGGTAAGAAACTAACATTTTTCATCCATACTCTATGCAATGAAACTATTATTTATCAACATACATACTCTAAATTTAGTTGAAGGGCAATCTCATTCACTCAACAAAAAATTAAACATATCTTGTGGTACCTTCCTTGCTAATGCACATGACCACATAAATGCGTCACGAAAACTCTAGCCCAACTTTCACGATTTGTCTTGTACTGCGGCTATTTCATATTAATCAAGTAACTATGAATGATACATATGGTCAATTTCCACATAAGATAAAATGGTCTAAATAATTGAAATCATCTATAAAAATTGATATTCAGAAATTGTGTTCTTTTAGACTCACCCATTTGTCAAATCATGCCATTTTATCAAGAGATAGGATTTAACGGTTAACCAAACTAAAACTTTCAAAAATTGGTCACTTACAATTTGCATAACAATATCGTTACTTTAATAGTTTTAAAAATTATATCAAGTTAAGAATTCTACATCACATCTACACATTCAATACTGCAATTCAATATGCAATATCCGAACAATGATATTTGGGTTGCAATTTCAAAATTATCCTCCATTTGTAAGATAGACACAAATTAAATTTATTATTTAACTCAAATTAAAATGATCAAAATATGAAAATTCAAAATTCAAATAAAAAATAAAGTACTTACGGGAGAGTTATGGGCTAGCTAACAGTAGAGGAAAAAAGTCATATAATTTTTAGATTTTATATTTAAAAAGATTCAAAACATTTCTTTAGTGTCATTGGGGTAAAATACACCCGTTACCACTTAAGTTTTCTATTTGGTGAAGCAATACCACTTAAGTCTAATTAGTACACCAAGTACCACTTAAGTGCAATTTAAGTGCTTCCATCCAAATTTCCATCCTACACACTAACGGAAGAAATTTAATATTAATTATTTTCCTAATCAGTATGGCCACATAAACTGAGAATGCTGAGTCATCATATTTAATGACACATCACCCTAACTATTACTTTCCACTCTCTAAACCCAAAGCCAGAAAGGCAGAAACCATCAATAGGCCGTACAAATAGAAATATAATCCCTATTAAAAGAACTAGTTTTTTACCCGGCCAGTTGACCGGAGAAGTTCATTTTATGATTTATATTAGTTAATTTATCTACATGTTTGAACTTTTTGGATCTTGTATACATTTTTTCCTCTCGTTTCGTAAGTGAATATGTGGTATGCCTATATCGAATAATATTTAATAGTTAGCACATTCACTTGTGATGTTTTTATTCTATGATCATAAATCATGTCGTAAAGGTTTATCACGTCCCATTTAGGATCGCATATAATTTTTTTTCCATCAAGATGCTCAAATTTATTATCTTATACAACATATATCAATTCATGATTCTCGAGTTTGTACGAACTCTCAACCAATTAATCAGAGTTCAAATTATTGGAAAAAGATACTTGATTACTGGATAAATTATGTTTATCCAATTGAAATTTGACACACATCGTATCCCTTATAATTAATAAATTCTCTAAACCTCACTCATTTTTATTGTTGATGTTCATGAAGTCTTTGTATAACAACTTATTATAATTGCTAATATTTTAAGTTTGTACTATCTCTCAACCTTGCCTTTTGTCTAAATGTTCGTTTAGAATCTGAATCTAAGGATTCATATACACTATCGAAAGTTCTCATCTTAACATGTTCCTTCAATGTATAAATTTTCAACTATTTGAATGTCCATTCGCTAAAATTTCTTTATATTTGGTGTTTGTTCTAGAACAAAAATTTCATTACGTATATTAATAATTGGTAAAGTGTGTATACAACATACAAATATTTCAAGTGCATTCAAAATTATGTATTCCTTGAATAATTAACTTATAATATTTTAACAAAATATTTTGTAACAAAATTTAAAAGTTCATACAAACATTGTGGCTTTTCACATGTATTTAAATTATTGGATGTATTGTAGACACATCTATTGTTAATATCTAAACATATATATATATATATATACAAAGAGTTTATTTTACTTTCAACACTAATTAATACCTTTGAACCTAGCTCATTGGGTGGAATATGATATCAATTTTTTTTTTGTTATTGCCAAAATTTGGTATGAAATCACAAACTCACAACTATATAGACTTGTTACAATTTACTTACTAAACTCATATTTATTAAATATTCTTCTTTTGACTCAATAGCTCGGTTTACACTATTGTAACTATAAATGTTTTTTGTTATATATGTGAAGTAAAATATTAATGTTTATTTATTACCTCAATCTTTGAATTTTAGATTTTTCTTAGCATGAAATGTGATGTTTAACGTACATCCTTAACAAAGATTTCTCTAAATTCCACACATTTCATTTTTCAAGTGATCTTGTGTCTCAGTCAAAGTTAATCAACTATTATACTCTAAGTCATTTTGGAAACTTCAATTTATAATCTTTAACAATAAATAACTCCAAGTCTGAAAAGAAAATTTCTTAGAATATGATGTAAGACCTCAATAGAGCTTGCTCAATCAACATGACTTAGAGAAAATATTAGTAATGTGAACTTAGGATACATTATAAATACTGCACATGCGATTCATATGTTTTCACTTGATCAGAATGAATAAGAAGCTTTTTAATAAATAACTATTATTTCTTGGTCAAGTTTCTTTCAGACATTATCGACAAAATATTATTATTTTTGTATGTTTGTTTAAATTATTCATTAAAATGTAAATTATTATTAAGTTTAGTAAAAATGAGCATAAATCTACATAGTAATCTTTAATCATATATTTTTTGGTTTAAAAAGTGTGATGTATATGTCACTCTACGAACATTAGTATACTGTTGCGTACAACGATATAATGCAAAACCAAAATGTGATATATGTCACTCTCCATCATGATTGTCACGTCGGTCGGCATGCCACCGGTTGAACCATTCAACCGGTACCGGTCATGAAATCGACATGACACCATCGGTATGACCGATATGATCGTTTACAAATTTATAAGTAAAATACATAGTTTTAGTGAATTTAAGTATGAGTACATGTAATTTTATTTGAAATATCATATTTTATTCAAATATCAATATGAATTGTAGGTAAATTATCTTCAAATATGGTTTATATATGATTAAATTCATTTGATATTAATGATTTTTTATATTTCTACATATTTTATTAACCGACATGAAACGACACAAACCGGTTGTACCACTGGTAAAACCATTACACTTGCAAAACCGGTTTGATAACCTTTCTCTCCATATATTATTTATAGATATAATGCAAAAACGAAAACAAAATAATTATTGGATAAAAGAGAATTAAATATTAAATGAAGAGAGAGGGTCAACTCCATAAATAGGTCAATAACTATTTTTTTGGTAAAAAAATTGTCCACCTTGGCAACTTGAGATCTCTCCAAGTGCTTATGTGGCAAAATTTTAATTTTGAATTGTCATAATATCTATCTATCTATATCTATCTATCTATCTATCTATCTATCTATCTATCTATACTATATATTATGGCAATTCAAAAACAATTTCTTGCCACATAAGCACTTGGAGGATCCACAATTTGCCAAGTTGGACAACTTTTTTACAAACAAAAAATTAGTTATTAATGTATTTATGGAGCTACCTCTCTCTTCTTTAATATTTCCATTTCTTTTATCCAATTATTCTTTTTCATTTATCCATTTATTCTTTTTTGTCTTTAATAATAAGTTACATGTTGATAAACTTAACCAAACAAACATAAATAATAATTATTTTAAATAAACAAAATATAAATAAGAAAAAAGAGAGTGACATATATCACATTTATTTAAATAAAAAATATCTGATTAAAACTTATGAAATAAATTTTCTACTCATTTTTACTAAAATTCAATGATAAGTTACATTTTGATGAAAAAATAAACAAACATACACATAAACAATTATGTTTTAATCGATTAAACCAAATTATATATGAAAAGAGAGAAAATAAACATTTGTCATTCAATTACCTTTGAAAAATAAACTAAATTAGTTTATATTTTGTTGCAATGAAACACTCTCTTATTCGTACAATATATATCTATAAAATAAAACAGTATTATTTAGCAAAATGTCAGAGTACAATCTTGATCGAGTAGTTACAGTTATTTATTTAAAAAAAATTCTTATTCATTCAGATCATGTTCTACCTTAAATTCCTCAAATGAAGAGGAATCGCATGTGC